CATCGGAAAATAGTTCATAAACATTAGTATTTAATAAGAATAAATTTGTATTATTGAAAAATAAAATGGTAATATGTCATCCTTGTTAAGGTCATTTATATAGATGAAAAACAAAAGGGGTCTTAAAATAAAATACCACATTTTATTTCAGTCATTTCATTACAGCATCCGTTATTTTACGGGGTGTATTGCTTCCATTGTTAACTCACTTTGAATCAAAGCTTTTGAAACCGTAAACCATTTTACTTAAAAAACTTTAATACTACGACATAAAAAACAATCTGTTAAAATGATATCAAAGTTTGATGAAATAAAATGATTTACGGTATCAAAAGCCTTAGAAATGTCGACTAAAACATTTATTGTAAATTGATTTTTATCAAAAAAAACTGGAGGTTTTCCGTACAAATCGAATAATTGCGTGTTCTGTTGAATTATTTTTTTAAAACCAAACTGATTCTTGTATAACAGTTTATTTTTTTCAGTTTTTTTGCCAAATCCAAAAAATCTTTCTAAACATCAACTAAATTTAATCCTGCAAAAGACATTTCAGAGAAATGTGGAGACTTTTTTTAAAGTCAATTTAAAATTTCGAAAAATCATGTACGTGTTATTTGCTTTTATATAAATAATATAATAATTCAATATTTCAACTTAACTATATATTTTTAAAAAGTACATTCCTTTACAAAAATAATTTACTTAACAGCAAATAAAAATATTAATTATTAAAAAAAGTAACATATCATTAATTTAACTGGTTACCATAATACTCAGAGTAAACTAAGCTGCAATAAAATATTCTCCTTTTGAGGTCATAGTATAAACAAACTAAACTATAAAATTCAAAACAGATCGTGTTTATTTACACTTTGAAGGGTTTGCTATAAAAAGCAACATAAAAAAAAAATTTTATACTTTAATAAAAAAATTTTTTGCCAAAAAATCGGGTCGCAGAAACCATAGTGCGTTAGGGCAATTTCGATTATGTGATCTTTGTAAAAAATGACCAAAGAAACTGACTTTGATAACATAATGGAACAATATGCGTCAGTTAAAGCAAGAAAGGAAAAATTGTAATAAAATGTTAATACAATTAACTTTGCTTTTTTGCCAAATTTTTAAGTAGTTTTTTAAAAAATAAAACGGTCGCAATCCATTGCATCGATATCTCTCTGGACATCCCGTAAAAATATATCATACCATGGGGAGATTCGTTTGGCCATTTTGCCAAACTAAAAATGACCAGTTTCTTTTTCGAGGTCCTTTTCTTTGGAATAAAATAGTTTTACCTAATTTTGATTTTTCTTTTAAATGGTTTCATTCTTCTTTTAAACGAAAAAAAAATTAAATTATTTTTTCAACACAAAAAATTTATATCTATTTTTAATACTTTAGTTTTTTTAATTTATACTTTACTTTGCCTATTATATACAGGGCTAGGTTAAGTACTTCTTGGCCTACCGGCACTTTAGGTCTTCTGGCCCTTGTTGGTCTCCAAGTATTCAAATTTAACAGCGGTTTAAAATAATAAAATTTTTGCAATTGTTGCGCTATGGCTTTATAATGTATTTTATTTTGTATTTAAACAAGCATCTCGCGTTATTTATTATTAAAAACACGCTGCAATTTGTATATGTTTTAAAATACATTTCGTCTGCATTTTAAGCTTACAAATGCAGATATAATAGCTTTTAAGTCAATGAAATCCAATACCCGGCTTTCTATTTGAACAATAGAAAGATCTGAAAGACGTTTCTGAAAAAAAGCTTCAAAATGAAGACATTTGTTTATTAAGTAAAAGTTAAGATTAGTAGGATATCGGTTCACATGTTTTTGCGCACTGCAAGTAATCTCCAAGGCATCCATGCTGCGGAGATTCACAAGAAAACCAAACAGAGAGTTTAATCTAGAATCTGTTCCAAATGATTATCAAAAAAACTGTCTCAAGTAATTCCATTTTGGTCAAGTCTGAAGGTTTCTACTCTTGGTTTTGCTTTTTGATCGTCGTTAAGATCAAGAAGAGCTTATATCGAAAATGTTTGTTAACAAGTATACACAATCACAAATAAAATATGTTTTTATTTGATTTTCAAAATAATTTTTAATTACCTTGTAAATAGAATAAACTTTTCAATGGCTAAACAAGCATCAGCACGAGCTGACCAACGAGTTTGTTAGATTTGTCAGAGCTTTTGACTTTAAGATGCGTTGATGCAAGGAACTTTGACTTTAAGACATCAATGCGTTAATGCAGAAAAGAAGTTATAAACTTCTCCGTTGAATTCCGTGGCACTCACTCCTACGAGTTTCAAATAGTGAGCAGCTCATGGAATGCATTCGGCAAGGACGTTGATCTTGCTTGTAAACCAAAGTAGATTCCAGACATATTACTAGTATTGTTGTATGACTGGCCACGGCAATTTTGAATGTTGATCGCATACTAATCTAACTTTTTCAAAACGATTTCAAGCATGGAAACTGCAAAATGATTATGCTTGAGAATAAATACTAAGAACCGCTCAACTGGTTTTCCGTTTTGTACACTTAGGAAGTAGAACCAACGTTGATTAAGAAATACTTCGTAAACTTGATTTCGCTAACTACGAAATTATGTTTGAAGTAAATAAAAAAATTATGCTATAACATGTTACTTAAGGATGATAATATTACTTATAAACTCCATAACCTCGGTGGCTATTAAGTGTATGAGTTCTTCGCAAATGTCTTTAGATAAGTACAAACTATAACCATTTCCTTTGTTTATATATATATTCCGAAATTTAAGTTATCAAGTGTTGGGCGAGGAATGGATCAAATTTTACTAATGGCTTAATACATCAAATAAAGTTTCCGTTGCGTATCGAGCCTAGTTTTTCGTCAGATCTGCGGAATGCTAATCTTCTGAGAATGAACAATAAACAAAATATAGAATTATTTTTTTAATTTTATGTTTCACCATTCTTAAAGTTTTTTTAAAGTTTTTTTTTTTTTTTACCATTTCACCGAACTCGAAAAGTTCTTTCAAGTCGTTAAAAAAATAATATATCCAGTTTTCAATACGTTGTATGCGCTGTTATTGAAAAGATTAAAAGTCTCTGGGGCATGAGAGGAAGTCAAGTATAGAAGCCGATGATTTTCTTTCAAATTATATATCTTTCGAAAATTCACTTAAAGGGCCCCTTGAACTTCTTGGCCTCCCGGTACGTGACCAGTGTGTCCGTTGGTAAAACCGGTACTGATTATATAGATTGTGAACAATATTAGAATATTGCATTTTTTTTGTTATATAGATGGTAAAGGGTTTCATGATAAGATCCTGTGATCTTCAAGAAGTCCTGCCTGTAATATATTTAATGTAAACTTACCCTCTACATATTCTGCCAAATAAATAATTGAATTAAAAAAATAATAATAATAAAATAAAAAAATAATTAAAAAATCACCTTTAAGCCGTAATTAACTTCGAATCAATTTTTGGGAATCAATTTTTTATTTTGTTATCTGACTCCAAAATGTCTTTTCCAACTTATAAAGGCAATGTTCTAATAACTGCAAATCGCAAACGGAAAATTTAAAATTTTCGCGGAATTTCATTTTTATTTTTAATTCAAGCTATTCTTCGTGTGTGAGTTTGATACATTGTTGCAATAAGAACACATATTTTAAAAAAAGGATTGTTTAAAATAAATAAATAAAAAATATAATGTTTAAGAAATAATAATTTTTTTAAAAAAATTGTTTATTTTCCTTTCTTCTTTTTTTGTCAATTTAAAAGCAGTTAAAAGGTGTAGGTAATTATCTACAGCTTTCATCTCATGTTCTTAGCATTTTAATGTTTATATAATGAAACATTTTATTTATTTTTATGTTGTCATATTTAAAATATCAATATTGCGCTTATATTGCGACTAGCTTTAAAGTACATATTTTGTATCTAGTAGAACTATGTATCATGCATTTTGTATAATTGTAGAATTATAATATAAAAGTTTAACTAAGTCCTTTACCTGTATGTTTTGGCTTAATGATATTTCTTGATGAATTTTGTAAAATGTTTTTTTTTTTTTTACATTTATAGTTATACATAATTTACATAAGTTATAGTTTAAACTTAGGCAAACAGCAGGTCGTACCATTTTTTATAAATTTGCAAAAAAAATATGAGCAACATTTTAAAAATTAACAAACACTTCCCAACTAGTAAAGTATAAAATAATTTTATTATGTCATAAGATAGAAAACACATTCTAAGTAATATAGTAAGTCAAAAGTTCATATATATATATATATATATATATATATATATATATATATATATATATATATATATATATATATATATATATATATATATATATATATATATATATATATATATATATATATATATATATGAATTTTTGACTATGCTGCTTATATGCTTTTTATAAGTCTTAATAATAAGTTTTATTCAATTGAATTTATTTTTACTTCAACATAATTTGAACACTTTTTTGAGGAAATTTAAATGAATCAAAAACAATATCTTTATTCATATTTTGTAGATTTCAACAAAATTGTTCCAAGATGTTGAGTGAATCAAGTGTTTTGTGTATCAGGATTTGTTATTTGATGGCAAAACAATAATAGGATAAATTAATTTTACAAATATATTTAAATACAGTTTTCTCATCTGTTAATTCACAAAGTTTTAGCTTGCAAATACTTTTAATATCCTATCCCAGGCACCAAATAGCAAAAAATTCAGTTCTCTTTTTTAATCATTTATTAGTTGTGTTAGTAAAATGTTCTCTAAAGAAGAATTTTTTTTTTCTACGAAATATAAACATACTTTTATTATTCCCTTTCTGATAAAAATGTTACTTTATGCAGGTTTTTCAATTTTAAAGTTTTTTATTTTTCTTATAAATTAAAAGTTACTTAATTTCATTCTGTTAAATAAATTTTTGCTATTATTTGTATATATTTTTTCATTTTTAGTAAAATACTTCCTATTAATTGTTTAAATAGTTAATAGTAGTTAATTGTCTAATTAATTAATATTAACCTTGGATAAAGAATTTTAACAACATTTATGATAGTGTATATATAATGGTATGTATATAACTTTATTTCTAAACATGCAATTAATTGTATATATTATTCAATAATGTAAATTTTGAAATTTTCTTTGAAATCTTTCATATGTTTATATAAACATGCAGTAAGTTTATAAAACAGATACTAAAATGTTTATTATAAAATTCTAGATAACCATTTCATACTAGTTTCATTCAGGTTTGATTTAGGTTTCAGATAAAAAAGAAATTGTTAAACAACATTTGCTAAATATTTAATTTTGAATGTTCAATTCATAAAGATATTTTTTAAATCTAATACTAGTTTATTAAATATTTTAATTTTATTTATAGTTAGTTAAATAAAATTATAATTTTATATGTAGTTTTATGTATGTATGTATGTATATATATATATATATATATATATATATATATATATATATATATATATATATATATATATATATATATATATATATATATATGTATATATATGTATATATATGTATATATATATATATATATATATATATATATATATATATATATATATATATATAAATATATATATATATATATATATATATATATATATATATATATATATATATATATATATATATATATATATATATATATATATATATATACAGGCCCGTAGGAACAAAAATTATATTGGAGGGGTAACACTACTAGGTGGTAGGTAGGTCGAATAGTAGAAGGTCAAAATATTATGTCAAAGGAACTTGCGCCGAAAATACAGATAACATATTAGGTCCTTTTTATCCTTTTTTTCCTTTTATTTCTTAATTTGTAATCATTTGTTTTTTTCTAAAAACTAACTTCAAAATTATTTATTTGAAAAATTATTGGAAGGAGAGGCAAATGCCCTTTCTGCCCCCTCCCCCTAATAGCTACAGGCCTGATATATATATATATATATATATATATATATATATATATATATATATATATATATATATATATATATATATATATATAAATAAATAAATATATATATATATATATATATATATATATATATATATAAATAAATATATATATATATATATATATATATATATATATATATATATATATATATATATATATATATATATGTATATATATATACACTTACTAAAGCGTGTTTTGATAAGCATTTGCTCACTTTTTCTGCTTACCATTTTATTTTCTTAAATTCATGTGGAAATCTTTTTTCCTGTTTCACCAATATTACATGCACCAGATGTGCAATCAAGTTGGTACACTCCTGGATTACTATTCAGAAGCAGTTTAGGCTACGACAAAGTATATTGATCAAGGGATTACCAAAACGGAAAACTGTTTTAACTCCAATTTTATGAATTTCTCTTTTTTTTCTTCTAAGAACAAAGCTTAATTTTGGAACCCGTAGTAAAATAACTAGATTTTTGGTACCAATTTTTTGAGAATAAGATGGATTTTTGGAGTATTTATAATTTTTAGCAATATCTGAATATTGTTTATAGGAATGTCAATTTTCAGTAAAAATCTTAATAAGAAAATTAATTTCATCTTGAATGTTATGTTCTGAACAAATTTTGTATGCTCCAGCAAAAAAACCGTTAAAAATACTAACTGCAATACTTGGTGAAAGAGATGGTTTTATATTTCACTGAGTATTGCAGTTGAAATTTCGGTTTTATAAGTATGTTTGTAATTGCATCTTTACGGTATATGGAAAACTTATTTTTTTGCAAGGAGTAATCGGTTGAAATACAAATATCTAAAAAATTTAATTGGTGTTGAGCATTTTAGGATTAGCATGTCTATATTTTAATAGATTTATCTTGTGAATTTCAAAGTGTTAGAAAAGAATTTGCGTCATCAATATTAGTAAATTGAGCATGGCTATCATTAGCGTAACATTAATGAGTAATAACTTATAAACTAGTTAATCGTGCTAATCAACGTTTATTCTATAATCAATTAAAAAAATTAATGATAAAAAAGAAAAAAAAACTTTTATTAAAAAGCTATTTAAAAGTGTTATATAAGATATACTAAAAAAATTCTCTAAAATATTTTTAATAAATCTAATAATTTTGCCTTCAGGCTTGATTATGGTTTATCCGACAATGTATTTAAATACAGTTATAAGTGCATTAAGCACTTTGCTATATTAACACTTTTGTAACGGGATAAAAAAAAATTATTGATTCAAACCTCAAAATTAGGGTTGGCATTTGGCAATGACAACCTAAAAGTGTTTAAGGTTCACAAAAAATTGCCGACCTCATTTCTTTGTTTTATGGTAACCCCTTGGTGTCAAATTTTTTTTGCCAACCTAATGCCGACCTCTAACAGTTTAAGGCATTTTTCCTAATTCAGAGGGTTGTTGATTGGAAACTATAAATAAATAAACAAAATAGTTACTTGAATTAAAATTATTAAAAAGAATTTTCTTTTCTTTAACATAGTTTGGAAATTTTAGTAGGGAAAAAAAAATTGTAAACCAGAGTGTTTCAAGTTTTTTTTAAAAAATTCAGATTTAATAAAATAAATTAGATTTATTAATATTTAATAATAAATTATATTAGATAATAAAATAAATAAAATAATAATATAAATTGAATAAATAAAAAAATTAAATTAAATTAAATTTTTTTTTTTAATGGAAAGTAGAAAAAAATTCATTTAATTATCATTTTATTATTTATCTAATAAAAAAATATTTTACTAATGTTTTTTAAAACAATAAATTACTGCTTGATGTTTTCTGCATAAACAATTTTAAAAGACTGTTTAAATAATCTAATTAAAAAAAGTTTTGGTGTAACATAAATGGCTTAACGCATAGGTAAAATCACCATTTCGTACATAAAATTCAAATGGTGTAAAGCTTAAATTTCTTAACAAAGTTTTTTTCTTAACAAAATTTCTTAAACTTCTTAACAAAGCCAATATATATATATATATATATATATATATATATATATATATATATATATATATATATATATATATATATATATATATATATATATATATATATATATATATATATATATATATATATATATATAAACAATTTAAAATGTATTCTACAAAATGCTCAATGTTCTTAAAAGAACAGAGCAATTACAAATTAGTAGAAAATCACTTAGCAAAAATGAGTAAAAATTTTTCTAAGTGATTTTCTACTAATTTATATATATATATATATATATATATATATATATATATATATATATATATATATATATATATATATATATATATATATATATATTCAATTATATTTTATGTTTTATTCAATAAATTTATTTATTAAATATATTTTATTTCAAATCAATAAAAATAACATTTTGTAAACTTAATTATAGGAAAATGAAAAATCTGATAATGTAGCTGGAGCAGGTTGGTTGTTTTGTAATAGTACTTTGTTTTTATTTTGCTTGGCGATGGTTTTTTTGTTCTAAATCAGAAAAACTGTCTTGATCTATTTAAAAATAATCAATAATTATTATTAGACATTTATATATTATTGTATGAATAAATTTGTTCTTAGAGCATAGTAATTAAGCTAGTAATTGAGTTAAAAAGTACATTGTCTCAAACATTTCACATAAACATAATGTTAAAAAATTTTAATATAAATCCGGTTTCTACCTTATCATTGCATCAGTGAAAAAATGTCCCCATTTTAACGATCTAAAGCTATTTTTATGGTGTTAAATTTCCAGGCCTAAAGACTAAAATATGTAGACCTAAAACACTAATTTGCCTAAACATTTCAAAAATGTTTTTTAAGATGTATTTAGCAGCTGTTTTAAAAGTAGATTTTAAGTTTAAATTATTTCAATTTTAGGACAGCCATTTCAGTTAAGACCTTCTAAGTTAGGATCAGATTTCAGTTCATGTAAGTTATTTATGTAGTTTTTGGTAATACTATATTAAATTTTTAATACAGATATTATTTTTTAAAAGTTTTGCTTCTCTTTTTTTTTTTTTTTACTGAGAAATAAATACACTGAGTTTAGGAAAAAAAAAATGTAAAGAGACAATAATTTCAAAAACTTTGACCATGGATAGTAATTGCGTTGGTCCTAACAGTTGTTCACTAAGTTTATATACAATTTTTAAAAGAGTTACACTTTGTTTTTAAAGCAAATTTAATTCAGTAAAGAGTGTGGAAAAATTTGTCTGGTTAATCTGAGTAAATACTATTTATTTTCTATTTTCAACAATATTATGTTTTATAAAATTTATTTTCCAACATTTAAAAAAAGTTTATTTTCCAACATCTTTTATGTATTGTTGTTTTATCAAGCTCAAAAAAGAGATTTTTGTATTTTTAAACAAAGTTGATAGAATGGTTTAGCTTTACAGCCATTTTTGTATACTTTCTTTTACCAAAAGAACCAAAGTCCTCAATCAATTGAGCCTCTGGCAAATTGCCAGTGTTGTTTATTGACTTGCTTAAAAAAAATTTCAATTATGTAGTTCCAAATATAAAGTGGTACTTTATAATGGGAACTTGCATAATTCTATTGCCATTGATACTGCAGTGAGAGTACATGAAACTTTTATTTTTAATTTTATATTTAAGATCTCTCTATTTTCAAAAAAATATTGCACAATTTATTTAGGCTGCTTTGTGTAATGGAGAATGTTTAGTTGTTTATCAATGTAAGACAGTTTATTAATAAGACAGTGAATGATTGAGGTTGTTTTAACTTTCATAGTAAATAGTTTAGACTGATCTTTCTATTTCCAACTTACAGCTATTCTAGCTTAATCTACACTCATAATGTTTAATTATGTTAGAAATCATTTTTTTGGAACATCCTTACTGAAATGTTTAACAGTAAATAATTTTTTATAATAAGAATAAAACACTTAATTTCTTGATACTTCACACATTCATTTAAAAAAAAATATATTTTTAAGAATTATGTTTATATGATTTTTTATCGTTAATTTTTTTTTTTTGCACATTTTATATCATACCTATATTAATTTTTTTTTTGCTGATTTTAAATTATATTTATTAATTTCAAATCTTTATTTTGTGTGTGTGCAGGTTTTCATTATTTTTACACATTTGAATTAAGAAAGAAAAAAACTTATTTAAAGTTAATGCAAAAACTTAGTAAGCACCTGTTAAAACATTTAATTGGTTTTAATTTTCTCCTTTTTTATTCTAAAGGTATAATAGGGCACACAATTTAAAAACTTTTAAAAAATTTTTTTAAAATTTTTTTTTTTTTTGCAATGATATATTAATTTTTTTATATAATTGATTAAAAATTAGGATTTTTATTTTATTTCTTATAAACAGAAATGTTAAACATTTGTTTAGTCATAAAGGATGCACCTAATAGATTTACCTTGAGACCCTCTGCTTTATCTGCAGCTGCTGAAAATATTGTTTTGACTACAAAGACTGGTAAATCTTATTTGATTTCTCTTGTTTTTATATTCAAAAGTTTCTTATATATATATATATATATATATATATATATATATATATATATTATATATATATATATATATATATATATATATATATATATATATATATATATATATATATATATATATATATATATACATATATATATATATATATATATATATATATATATATATATATATATATATATATTATATATATATATATATATATATATATATATATATATTCATTCATACAACAGGCTTGGTCGGGAAGCGGCAGCAATCGCTCTCTGCTGACCACAGAAATAATATTTAGTTGGGAAAAGCTGGCCAGATTTTTTATTCGTTTTGAGAACATTTCAAAACGCAAAAAAAAAAAAAATGCGCAAAAGATTAATTGGATTAATGAGAGACAATTACAAAAAAAAAAAAAAATCAGGAAAATAAAATATCCTTTAACGCGAACAAATGTTTTCGAAACATCGCTCTTTTATAATTTTTTTATAAAAATTAAGGGACGTTTTTTATATAAAGTAACATTTTACATTTGTTTAAAAAGGAAACAAACGTTCTTTATTTATCAAAGTTTGCAAGTTTTAGTTTTATCTAAGCTAAATTATTTTATAAATAAAAAAGTTATTTTTTTTTAAACCTATTTTATGTTTCGTGTAATTTGAAAAGTTTAACATATTTGAAACAATTCTTCTTAGTATGATAAACAAATAAAATAATTAAAACATTGAATTACTATAGAAATTAAATTAACTAGATAGAAATCCACTAAAAAAGTTTAAAATACTTTTATGACGAGGAAGCGAAACTGCTTCACAATATCGCTGATGATGTTTAGTAAGTGGGCTTTTTAATTTAAACTTTAAAATTCAAACCAATATCTAGAAACTTTTCTTTATATCTAATAACTTGCTATATATATTTGTATTCTGTCATGACCTCAGGTGCTGTGCTTGTTCATCCGCGAGTTACTTTGTATGCATAGTTTGTGTTTAGTAACCAGAAACTTTTTATATGTTTGTTACATAATTAGTTTTATTAACTTAAATGATTATTAATAACTTCATTGAAAACGCAATTATTTTTGTAAGTCTTTGTTTACAAATTAAATTGCAACTAGAAAGAATTTCTGTGGTCAGTATTCGAGAGCGATCGCTCCCGTTTCCTGACCAAGCCTGATACAACCCATCAGAATTAGGAAACACACACACACAACCCTTTGGAATTAGGAAAAATGAGGTCAGCAATAATTTGCTTATCTCAATCTTTTAGAGATCAGCATCAGGTTAGCAAAAAAAAAAATTGATGCAAAGGTCTCACCATAAAACATAGAAACAAGTTTGGCAGACCTCAAACACTTTAAGATCGGCAGTTATGTATTGAATACAGTTGGTATTCGGCATAGAATACAGTTGGTATTCGGCAATTCTGACCTTGATTCCAAGGGTTATATATATATATATATATATATATATATTATATATATATATATATATATATATATATATATATATATATATATATATATATATATATATATATATATATATATATATATATATATATATAAATATATATATATATATATAAATATATATATATATATATATATATATATATATATATGTATATGTATATGTATATGTATATGTATATATATATACAACCCTCGGAATCAAGGTCGGAATTGCTTGCCCAACCCATAACCTTGAGTCTATATAGCAGCACTCCTAGCATATTCTACTTATTTAAGTTAGTTAATGTATATATACTCCTCACATGTTTTATCTATTTAAGTCAGTAAAAGAGAGAAAGAAAATCCTAAAATCTTGTACATTAACAAACAGAGAAAAATAAAGACTCATATCAAGCTTGTATTTGATATTGACAGAAAATGTCAGGCAAAAAAAATATTCCTTATTTAACCCAACAGTTCCAATTTTTTACTCAGCCCCATAATAGAACATCAATGCCAGAGTTCAAACCAAAAACTCCAACAATACCTTCTGTTGACAGTAAATATTTAACAATACTTAAGTAGCCACCCTACTATGTAACTTAGACAAATCATCTGGAGTCGACAACTTTTTGTTCTTTCAAATGGTCATAAGAACTTGAGTTTCCTATTATCCTATATATATATATATATATATATATATATATATATATATATATATATATATATATATATATATATATATATATATATATATATATATATATATATATATATAATATATATATATATATGTATATATCAAATATTGTGTCCTTGCTCTGGAAAGATGCTAATGTCTCAACCTATCTTCAAAAAATGATGTAAACTCAAAGCAATTAACTACTGACCAACCACATTGATTTCAATTGTAAGTCAATGAAGTGATTAGTGAGAGAATGACTAATTAATAATCTCACACCTTACTACAAGTCATGTCTTACTACAAGTCATGACTTATATGTAATGTCATTCCTTATTAGTCATAAGTAATTAGTGAGAGAATGACTTAGCACCTTTCTAATCTCAAACTACTTTCTATTTGCCTCCATATTAGTGGTAAATCATGTTGCACAAACCTCTTGAAAGTGTTAGATATAATTACTGAAAAACCAGTTTTATGGCTGTCCTAATCTTACTTGACTTTTCCAAACTAAGGTCTTCTAGACAGACCTTTTTTTTTTTTTTTTTTGTTATTGTTATTTAGGTGCCCCAAGAAGCAAGAAGACCTAAAGGTCTTGTCACAGAGCATTGCAAAAGTGCATTCAACCAGGAAGTTCACGCCTCCTTCCTTACCGTGACACAAAAATATGTCCAGAGCTCGTTTTGAACCTGGATCTCCTGCGCCATAGCCGTTATTTATTGTTGAATCTACATTAGCGCAAACAGTTTTTAGAAAAATTAATTTTAGAGATTCGTATCTAACTTGTAGCACTTTTAAAGGCATCAATAACTTGTTTTTCCTTTCTTAGTTAACTATGTTAGAAGAGTTGCTTCTGACATAGTAAACATAGTAAAGATATTACAGTAAATTAAGTCTTTTTTTTTTCTAAAAACAGTGTTTGTGCTAGACCTCATAAGAAATTTATTTTTATTTTTCTCATTGTAAGAAATTTATGTTTATTTTTCTCATTGTTTATTTTTATTTTTCTGATTGTTTTTTTTTATTTTTCTCTTTGTATATTTCTATTTTTCTCATTGTTTTTATTTTTTATTTTTCTCATTGTTTATTTTTATTTTTCTCATTGTTTATTTTTATTTTCTCTTTGTATATTTCTATTTTTCTCATTGTTTATTTTTATTTTTCTCATTGTTTATTTTTATTTTTATCATTGTTTATTTTTATATTTCTCATTGTTTATTTTTATTTTTATCATTGTTTATTTTTATATTTCTCATTGTTTATTTTTATTTTTCTCTTTGTATACTTTTATTTTTCTCATTGTTTATTTTTATTTTTCTTATTTTTCTGAGTATTCTATTAGTAATCTGAGTTTTCATGTAAAGTTTTAAATACTATGAAATGGAATTCAAAAATTGAGAGGGAAACTGTAGCTATTAGGCATATCAGTAAAATTCTAATTGTTATTATTGTACAAAGTTGAATATTTTTTAACTGTTTCAGTTTTATTTGAATCAGGGATGCAAAGTCTCAAAGAGAACTCTGGATTTAAAAGTTGCAAAAAGATTACTTTTTCCTAATTTTTGATATCCAGGAGCTCTAAAAATATAAAAAAGCTTATGAACTACTAAAAAATTAAAACTTTTCGTTTAAAGGAACAATCAATTTTTGAACCTGGAGTCCTTAGATATAATGGCGGCAAGGACTTTGAGACTCCTGGCTTAAAAACATTAAGTTGTTAAATCTCATAGAGCTTCTTTGACTTATATGCATACTCCCCTTCCTCATTTACCAACTCTGTCATAGTGAAAAAGATTTTAAACAGGAACATCTTTTTAAACCGTTCACATTTCTAATTTTTTTTTGAAAATATTAATTACACTGTTTTTAACCTCGTCAAATGTATTATACTTATTTTTATTCACATCAAATATATTATTTTTATTTTTATTTATAGATGCTGTTATACCAAAAACCATTACATTTTTCCACCTCATTTCTTATTTTTTTGATTCTTCTGCTACTATATTAATCACCTTTAGTTGATTTATTGGTTTTTTCTGAAATAGATTCCATACCCCCGAGACACGTTGTGTTTATATTTAAGAGAATGGTTAAAAAAAAATGTTTAAGCTAAATATTTTTGATTAAAACAAAAGAATAAAAACATGCCAAGAAAAACTTTTTTATTTTAGTTGAAGCTCATCTTCTCCTAAAATAAAAAAGTTAATTTTTCTTGGTGTGCATTTATTCTTTTGTTTTTATAAAAAAAATTTAGCCCAAACATTTTTTTTTTTAATCATTCTTTTTTAATATGAACACAACATGTCTTGGAGGTTTAGGATCCATTTAAGTTCATCTTTTAAAATACTTTACAATATCAGCTCAAAGTCTAATTTTTATTTTTTAATTTTGTTATTAGTTTTTTTTTTTATGTTAATGGTTATTTTTTCAGTTGGTTATCTTTAGCTTTGATTGCTTTTTCCAAAGCTGATACTTGTTTTTCTGATGCTGAGACTTGTTTGCCCCTCAATGATCAATGGCTGCCCTAAATGACTAAAATTGCTATTTTAACTTCCCAAAATGATTTCTTGCCAGTCATGGTTGAAAGTCATGGTTGAAAGTCATGGTTGAAAGTCATGGTTGAAAGTCATGGTTGAAAGTCATGGTTGAAAGTCATGGTTGAAAGTCATGGTTGAAAGTCATGGTTGAAAGTCATGGTTGAAAGTCATGGTTGAAAGTCATGGTTGAAAGTCATGGTTGAAAGTCATGGTTGAAAGTCATGGTTGAAAGTCATGGTTGAAAGTCATGGTTGAAAGTCATGACTGCTTGAATAAAAATCAGAGTTTTAAAAATCGTTCATCAGGATGTTATTTGGAAAAACACTAAAATTTTGTTCATCAGGATGTTATTTGGAAAAACACTAAAATTTTGTTCATCAGGATGTTATTTGGAAAAACACTAAAATTTCATAAAATCATTTAAATTTTGAAAAAGCATTTAAAATATTTTTATTGTTTACAATATGCTACTTTAATTGGTAGTGGGTTGTTAAAGCAAAAAGTTTAAAAGCAAAATTTAATATAAAAAATATGAAATAAAATAACTATTATTGAAAGTTTCTTATTCACCAAAAGTTTCTTATTCATTCACCAAAAGTTAAATTAAATCTTTTTTTATTTTCTAACATTTTATATTAGAAAATAATTTATATTATTTTATTTGTGTAAATATAAGTATTATTTAAAAAAGGAGGTGTAGGCAAATTATTTTTATTATCCAAAACCTGCCCTATTTACTGAATATTTAAGTTAGGGAATATATGATATTCAATAGAACATCTATTTGTTTCAAACAATTATTATTCATAGAAAAAGAAAGTCCATCTAAAGGATTTACTTTGAGACCCTCTGCGTTATCCACAGCTGCTGAGAATATTGTTTTGACACCAAAAGCTGGTAAACATAATTTTTTCTTTTTAAAATATTAAACTAAAGGGTTTTATTAGAGTACTTTTTAATTCCTTTTATTTTTAAGTAAAATATATTCTCCTTTCATTTGTAAAAGCTCTAAAATGGTTGTCATGGTAAATGGTTGTCGTATTCTTTTATTTTTATAATATATTACAGGAATAGAGAATTTATTGTCCCTTTTTAGAAAGTAATGCTAACAAAGGAGCTCTTTTGTTATTTTACTACCTGTGGTTTTTAATTTTTTTTATTTTTCCAAAACACAGTGTTATAACCGTATCACAGTATTATAGGATTTTTTCTATTTTTTGCTGATTTTTATTTTTAACTCCAATCTGTTTAATCTAATCAAATATATTTTATTAGCAAATAGTAACAGTAATAATAAATAACTGTTTGTTAATAATTATAGCGTATGTAAATGGCTGGCTGCAGAAACCAGATACGTCCAATAATATTTGTTATTGCTTCTTTTTGGTGTATCTTAAAATCATAATATATATACAGAATATATATATATATATATATATATATATATATATATATATATATATATATATATATATATATATATATATATATATATATATATATATATATGTATATATATATATATATATATTGTAGAATATATATATATAATATATATATATATATATATATATATATATATATATATATATATATATATATATATATATATATATATATATATATATATATATATATATATATATATATATATATATATATATATATATATATATATATATGTATTGTAGGAATTATGTTAATATTTCCAGTAAGAGTGCTCAATACAGCGTTTTATATAATTAGTAGAGCAAATAATATAGTGAAAACTAAATAATTATTAAGATATATTTCAATTACATTATACATAATATGTATATATATATATATTTATGTATATATTAATATATATATTTATATATATATATATTTAGTATAGATGTTTATAAATAAATTTATAAATAAACATGTTTATTTAGTCAATGTTATAATCTTTCTGTTACATTCTTTGTGTGCTTGTTCTTTGTTTTTATAATTTTATTTTTAATCATAATGAAGTAATTTCATCTATAATCGTAATGTAAATTTTTTTTTCCCATTTATAAAATCTGCTTTAACTTTAAAAGTAACATAAAAAACAACAACTAATAAAACATTTTTTGCAATGTTTTACTTATCATTTAATTGTTAAGATAATTTTATTGTTAGTGGGATATTGAAGCTTGTGGTTTCATGTGGCTTTCCGCAAACTTTTTTCATAGAATATGAAAAAATTTATTGTACACTTTATGTTTGTCTCCTTTACATAGAGCCATTAAATTCTATAGCAAAATCCTTGATAAAAAAGATCATTAATAACAAAGTTTTCTGTTTTTAATGTTATATAAACCTTAATTTTTTTATATTGTATATACTTTATGTATTTTTTATTTCTTTCTGAATTTTTTTTTTTAGAAAATCGGAAAAGGGCAATTAGTGATGATAGCCAAGGTTTAATTTATTTACTTTTGTTTCTTTTATTTTAATTGCTATTTATATTTGTTGCTGTTATTTTTACCTGCTACTGTCATTTTTAACTCTTTTATGTTTATATATATATATATATATATATATATATATATATATATATATATATATATATATATATTATATATTATATATATAAACATATAAAAGTATATGTTTATATATATTATATATATATATATATATATATATATATATATATATATATATATATATATATATATAATATATAATATATAATATATAAATATATATAAACATATAAAAGTATATGTTTATATATATATATATATATATATATATATATATATATATATATATATATATATATATATATACATATATATATATATATATATATATATATATATATATATATATATATATATATATATATATATATATATATATATATATATATATATGTATGTATTCTTTCAAAATTTTCAGGCTTTGTTTTAAACATTTTTAGCGCTCCCTTTATTTACCATTACTATTTTTGTTTTGCCAATGTATTTTTGTATACATTCTATTAGGTATACACCAAGATAGCTATTTGATGGTTTATTTACTATTGATATAGTTTTAATATTTTTTTGTTTTGTTGTGTGAGGTTAGCAAAGATTTAAAATTTGTATTAGATTTAAGAACTGTTTTCCTAAATATTTTTTGAAGTTTTGGTAATAGCATTGGGTTCCACGTAGTGAAATAGTTGGCATGGTTCCTTCATTGTTAAATGAGACTATTTCATTATTTAAGTGTTGTTTTTTTATTACAGTATTTGCAAGGTTATATATATATATTTTTTTTTTCACATCTATTCTCAGTAAATACATCTATTAGGAAATTGATTTCTTTATTTACAAAATTTTCAGAGCAAATTGATAAGGCTCTATGGATAAATCTTTTAATATCTAATATTTCTTAGAAACCTTCTAAGGTTTTTAGGTTGTGGTTTGAATTTTACTTAACCTGAATATTTGTTATTGCTTCTTTTTGGTGTATCTTAAAATCATAATAACCTTTTTAATCTATCTGGTCTTCCTGATAATCTTACCTCTAAATTGGTTTTATTTACTTATAATACAACTATATCTATAGGATATGGTTGTATTAAGAACACAAGCAATGATCCTAGCCTCACTGTTTTGAAGTATCTAGCAATAATAATAATAATAATAATAATAATAATAATAATAATAATAATAATAATAATAATAATAATAATAATAATAATGACAATCTGTGACAAGAAAATATCAACATAAGGACTAAACTAAATAAAAGGCTAAATTTTGCACCAAGTAAATATATATTTTTTCTTTTTTCTTGCTTCGAAAAGGTACCAAAGTGTTTATTGATTCTCATTAAGATGAGGAGAGTCACAGTGGAAATCTAGTATAAGACTTTGCAGCTCAGCAATTTTCACTGAGTTTTACGAGGTTGCATTTGCATAAAAACAACTAAAATTATTAAGGTGTTTTGTTGTGTTAACTTTAAAAATAAGATATAAAATGGTAATTTTAAATTTATTCTTAATTTTTCTTTTTATGTAGAGACTGATCAGTTTGAGGAGGCAAACAAAAAAACAAAAGTGAGTTATTAGATACTGTAAAAAAATAAGTTTTTTTTAATGTTCATTTTAAAAAGTTTTTTTTTCTGTAATTGTTGTTTTTGTTGATTTTTTTTAAATTTTGCTTACATTTATCATGCTTTTTCTTTTATTTTTATACATTTAGTTTTGTTTAAAACTACTAGGGCTGTATCGTTTTTTTCTATTTACCACTAAAAATTATCTTTCAATTTATTTTATTTTGTTATAAAAAAGGTTCAGAATGTATTTGTAAAAAGCTTTGGTGAATTGTATTAAATTTATACAAAAATTGGCATACAGAGACTTAAAGTAGATTAACTGGACTTTGGACAACGATGTAGTTGTAAAAGTTTAATAATTTCCTTGTTATTAACTCTTCTCAGAAATCTTTTTTTGAAATATATAGTTCTTATGGAAAATAATATTATTTATGGAAAAAATGTTGATGATAGTTGAGTCTATCTTGTTTTAAATGAATCTAATAAGTACTGACGTTACCACAATCCAATTGTTTGGTAAATTTCGATAGTGATTTTTAGATAAGGAATCGAAAGTGATTAGTTAAAATTGCTATATTTAAGTAATTGTGGTGTTATTTTTTGTGCTTTTGATTAGCCTTTTAATGATTTATTGTGAGCCAATTTTTATCAAAAAAATCATGTGTGTGATTTTGTATAAAATTGATAAAAATGTGATTTTGTATTGTATTTAATCACATAATAAAAATAAATTGCTTTTGTGCTAAATGCCAGTGCTTGAAACAAAAATTTAAAACACTTTTTGTTTAACAAGTTCAACAAAGCCAACAAAGCTGTAAGCAAACTATTTATGTTGAAAAGAATAAGAAAAGTTGAAAAGATGAAAAAAATTGAAAAAGCAAGAAAACAGTCTTCAAAAAATTTGTATTTTATTTACTTGTCACATGAGGAACTATTTCTTAATGGTGTAAAATCAGTGATCTTGTGAAAATGCCAAAAGGCGTACTTTTGGAGTATAAAGGTTAATGAGGTGAAAAATGAGAAGACTAATAGTAGAAGATTCAGTAGAAGGTTGAGTAAGTTTGTATTCACCAAACAAGGTATATCAGCATTATTATTATTAATTGTATATTATTTATAATAGTAATTATAAATATTATTATTATATTAAAATTATTATTAATACTATAATAATTATTAGTAAACTAATTCAAATTTGCTGCTGTGAGCTTAAGCTGTCACAAATCAAAAATCAGGTTCATGAGTTTCACTGTAAACTCATGATGTAAAATTAGATGTAAGATTATCATGGTGTAAGATTATCATGGTGATCATTAGTATAGATGAGAAACAACACATAACCAATGGTGGAATCTTGTATCTCAGGTTACTGAAGATAAAAGAGTGTTGTCCATCAAGGACAGCTTTAATACTTTGATAGGATTCAATAGTTGTAAAAAGTTTTCTAAATTTACTTGATAAAAAGAGCT